CTGATTCACCAGCTTATCTCATAAAAGAAGTTCTATTTAAAGTTTCTTCTTTAATTACAATACGATGGAACTAAAGACACACGACTTGGTATAGGTACTTACCAAGCAAAAGAAATCGAAGAGATGAGCCGACCTTTGTGCAAGCTTGTATCTCTGTATGACGAGGGAATGTGTCATGTAAATGCCGTACGAAAGTCGACTAAGAGGCGTGAACACGGGCCAACCCAGGATATGGGAGACTATAGCTAGAAAAGAAACAAAATGACTCATTAATTTCCCCAATCCCTGAATCCCCAACAATCCTCAAAATCGAAATCCCCAAAAGGCCAGTAATACACTTGTAAAGGCTTTGGTGTTCCAGATGCTTTACGGGCGACGCCGATTGCTTACCATCACGTCATCCGTCCGCTCGTTTACCGGCTTATGCCATAAAAAAATAAACTTACGAATAGTTCCATATTCACACAGCCCTATAATGCAGCAGATAGCCACAGCCCAGAAGATCCTATTAGTGGCTGCAGTGATGGTAGCATCTATGGGGTCATGTCCTCGTATTCTGAGTATGTAAGCGAGGGCCATTGTGACTATCATCAGAATAAAACACACTGCAACGCCAATCATGGACCATGTCTGGAAATTGAGATGATGACAGGGTATAAAAAAATATAATTAGTCCGTAAGTTAGGTAATGAAAAAATATTAGACACGTATTTTTTATTTTGTCGTATAATAAAACAATTATGTTATGAGTCCCATGTAATAGAGGGTGAGCCTATTACTATATACTAGGCACAATTCTAAACTCCGTGCTACTACTGAGAATGTTTTTCAAAAACCCACTAATATTCTGCTTGACTCGGGAATCAAACCCGAGCCTTGCCCAGCAGTCGCACTTGCGACCACTCGGTCAATGAGGCAGTAATATACAGGACATAGGCGTTAGATACAATCAACTAACGCCTATGTCCAATGCCAGTGGACAATAAACAGCTGATGAGAAGATGTACCTAATGAAAATACTCATAGTTTACCAAAAACATATTATTAGACCTTGTAACCTAAAGATTCTATATAAATAATTTCGTAAAGGTGTACGGTAGACTCGATCGAAACATTACCTGAATAACCAAACAAAAAAAATATCGATTTCGAGTCGACAACATATATCCGCAAAATTCGGATTACGGAGATTATTTCGTTTTATTAATTCATTTTAATGACACTGACAGACAGACTGCAGTCGCCATCTTGAGTAGACAATAAACGTTCCGTTTCATACTAGCTCTCAAATACGCCTCGCCAATCAACACGTTGTCGTGTCAAAAAAGTATAAATTAACAAGAAATATGAATAATTTCACGCGAATGAAGTCGCGGGTAACAGCTAGTAAACTAATAAAATAGTTAAGAGGTTCTCAGAAAGACTTACTTTAGAAACAGATTTTCTATAATCAGCAGGTTTATAGATGGACATGAGGTATCCCATAGCGACACCAACGATGTATGGACTAGCACGGCTGAAGGCCGGTGTGTAGACTAAGCTGTGCTCCCAAGCCTCACGGTAGTGGATCACGTACTTTCTGAAAGGAAAGAATAATGACATCGTGTCTTCTAAACCCATTTCAGAAGTCGATTTTTTTTTAATGAATGGTAAATTTGGGAAATCATCCTCGTCATCAAATCAAGTTTAACTTTCTTTAATGATTTACTGTTCTGGAATGGAAACCATATATCGTCTATACAGGAGTATCTGTTTGTAATATCAAAATAACCACATTTTACTACATGTATATGAATATACATACGATACACATAACAAAACATCACTTTTTTACATTTGTCGTGATACTTTAGGAATTTAAATTAAATTATTTTATATGATGTCTGTTTGTCCATGTTTGTACTGGATAATGTCTAGAATGGGTGGAACGATTTTGCAAAACTTTTATTGGCAGGTAGCCGATATACTAAGGAGTAACATAGCTTACTTTTATTTTGGAAAAAGTAACAAAAAACAAGTTACGATCTAAAATTGATATACTACGTCTTTCATATCCTAAGTAGCGGACAACAGCTAGTACATAATATATTTGGACGAAGGCATCTGATAATAAGACAGTAGACAATAAACTGATAACAAATATACTATTCAAGAAGATAAATATTAATACCTTACCCATAATCCTTAAAAAGAACCCCAGGTAATTGGAACAAGTATGTCAGCACACCAGGAATGATCATGGACAAGACTGCAACAATTGCGTAAGAGACAAATCCGAAACTCCTGTTCCTTTGATAGAAGTAGAAGAGTAGAGTCCCCAAGATTGCTAGCTGGTAATCACAGGCTAAATACCAAGTCACATCATGACACTGCAAAGAATAGAAGACACTTTATTCCAGGAGTTATTGGATGCTTCCAAATTGCAAGCCCTTAACGATAAAGGGCCTTTCAAGAAATTACTCACAATGTGTTTCACGTCTAAATTCATCATGAGTAAACTCTTCAGCCAGTGCTGTTCGCAAACTTCTGTTTCCTCCAATCCTAGCCAGGCTGGAGTCGAGCTAAAATGCTTGGATACTGATATTAAGTAGAAGACTATTAGCGCGAATGGTCCTATTAACCTGTAAAAAAGCATCAGTAGAGCAACTGTATTTTTGAAGGTCATAAAATTGGCATTGTTTATTTCTGTTCAGCATAAAAGCCAGTTGAATCAAGTTTATTGAAAAATGGATGAGATTGAAATTAATTTCGACAATATTTGTCGAAGTTAGTTTAAAGTGTGGGTGAGCCTAACACTTCGCCAAAAATGGGCCGGCTTGACTGGACCAATACCACGGCCTTACAGAAAACCGATGTGAAACAACGCTTGCGTTGTGTTTCGTCGTGTGAGTGAGGTTACCGGAGGCCCAAATACCCCCTACCCCGCCTCAATCTCCGAATCCCCCACAATTCTTAAATTCCCAACTCCTAAAAGGCCGGTAACGCATTTGTAATGCCTCTGGTGTTTCAGGTGTCCATGAGCGACGCCGATTGCTTACCATCAGACGATCCGTGTGCTCGTTTACCAGCTTATCCCATAAAAAAGTATCAATTCCATACATTTATTTGTCGATTCATTAGATTAGACTAGTATCTATACCATTAGGCTCATACCACAGTTCTGTTGAGTGGAGAGTCAGTACTTCTATGGACTAAGGCTTACCTGATGTACCGTTTCAGAAGCACATTAAGTAGATTCTGCCTTTTTCCCATTAATCCCTTGATATGCAGTAGTCCAGATATAGTGAAGAATGTATCTACAAAGAGATCAAAGTGAAGAAGTAGTCCGCCAACGCTTTCCAAAAACTGAAACAACATATTTTAAAGAACAAACGAAAAGCAGGCCTATTTTTAAATAGATAAGGTATATTTTCAAAGACTTACCGCATCAACATCCATTAAATTGCCTATACCAGATATGGACATGTAGAACATCACATGTATGCCTACAATAATGACTGCAGTAAGGAATCTCATGCCGTTCATCGCACGAATCTCATCCTTATTGACTTTTACTAAGTCTTCTTGGTTCTTGAAGATGTTGAAGGATCTTGTTATGACTGTTACTGGAATATAAGGTTCACTATTAATTATAGGTCAATTAGTAAGTCTGTTTAACTTGTAGAGAACACTAATTTTTCAGTTAATTCAATCTGTTGCGTTGATTGATTGTTCTGGTGTTGCGGGTGTCCATGAGCGGCGCTGATCGCTTACCATCAGGTGATCCGTATGCTCGTTTGCCTCCTATTCCATAAAAAAATGTATCATTAAGCCAAGAATAGACTTTTTTTTAAGGGGGGAAAATCATCGAATGACTGCTCCCGCCTGGGTGTGGCGGGAGGGAGTGTCAGACTCTTACTGACTAAAAACCACCCCGTTCCTTCTCCTGCACGTCGAGCCGGAGCCCCGGTTACCCGTTAGGTTCTCCGCGACAAGCCAAGAATACACTAGGGGATAAATTTCCCAAGATATGTATCGGCGACATGTTGAGCGAAGATGGCCAATGTCACTTAGCATATACGATGACAACTTATGACCACAGTGACATTTATGTTGCTAGACATGTCGACCAAAGTCCGGCAACGTCGCGCTACTTTACCCGACGTCGTTGTCATCACATTTGTACCATAATGTATTGAGTGTACAATGTGTAGTGAGTAGACGTATCACCTGGTGTTAGAGATCAGTGGCACTTCTGGACACGGTCTTTGTTTGGTAACAGTAGATGATATTATTTTGTTAAGCACACTGCATGATGAAGTCCAGTTGAGCTAGTAGGAAATTAATATAAAACCACTTACTTAAATTATGCGAGGATTCATCCTCAGACACATGCAGACGATAGTAGGTAGAAGCTACAGCAGTTATTACCAGCGACAGTATCAATACTCTAGAAAGAAAAATATTAATTCATGATTAATTAAAACGGCAAGTGTATGATCGTGGACTTTGAGTTTATATATCTACCGATGCAAGTAATTTTTCGACTATAGTGATATTTTTATTTTTTTTATGGCATACATAAGCCAGTAAACGAGAAGACGGATCACCTGATGGTAAGCAATCGGCGTCGCCCATGGACACCTGGAACACCAGAGGCGTTACAAGTGCGTCACCGGCTTTTTGGGGATTAGGAGTTTGAGGATCGTTGGGGATTCAGGGATTGGGGAGATTGGGGAAGGGGAATGCAATTGGGCCTCCGGTAACTTCACTCACACGACGAAACACAACGCAAGCGTTGCTTTACGTCGGTCTTCTGTAAGGTCGTGGTATCACTCCGGTCGAGCCGGCCCATTCGTGCCGAAGCATGGCTCTCCCACACAATATGCTTTTTGTCTAAGTTAAATCGTACCTAATTTTAATTATTCGAGTATTGGATACCTAATTATCTACCTACACCATATTGTCATGTTACTCTTAAGTTGTTTCACCTCTGACTATCTCTTCCGGGAGTATCAGGCGCGAGGCTATGTATGTGTTTATGTATATTATATAGTCAAAATTTATTTTGTTTAAATTATGTCAAGTATTAATGCATGTAAGAGCGTATATAGAAATTAAATTATAATTATATTGGACCTTCTCTCGCCTGTAACACAGGATTATCCCACAAATTGTTGTTCCGGGTCTGGGTGTCATGTGTATGTGAACTTGTATGTTTGTAAACGCACCCACAACACAGAAGAAAAACCTAGTGTGGGGCAACGTTCCTTAGCAGTCGTCGTCGCTGGGGGCAGTTGCCGCGTCGCGGGTCGCGGAATGCTGCGCATGAATATGAGCCTCAAGCATGGCTTGAAACTAGTCGAGTTGCTCGTTAAATAATTACGTAAGTAAGCCGAAAAAGTCAAAAAAGTCAAAAGTCAAAATGTTATTTCAATTAGACCAGTACGAGTTTGTTTTACGTTTCAAGTAATCGTAACGAGTACGCGTTCGGCGCTGTGATTGGTTGCTTCATTGGCGCCGGCCAATAAGGGTGCCGAATGCGTATTCGTTTCGAATACTTTAAACGTAAATCGAACTCGTACTAAGGCCTCAGAATGGCACTTCTGAACGTCAACAAAAACGTAATAGGTAATTAATTATATATGTCTCACGAAGGTTATAATATAAGAAACCTTTCTTTAGTCGTCTGCCGCGCATGGATAGCGATCCCTCTCAGAAGATCTATACACGGATTTTGTTCAATAATGGACGTCTTACGACTGATTATGACGATAGCGGTATGTTAGGAAATAAGGTCAACATTGTAATAAAACATTTGTTTGCAAACGTTTAGTAGTCCTATAGGCTTCAAAAACAATTTACAACCATAGTGTCTTTTAGCCGGATCACAAGCACGGCTCTAAGCCAGCAATTAACCTTTCATTTAAATATGAACTTTAAATCATATATCGTATGATATATTTCATAGCGTCAATATGAAAGCTATAAGCGCGCCGCCCGTGCGCCGACGACCGAACGCCTACAACCTTTTTGTTTAGTTTCATAAGCAAAAAATGCCGTACTGGAGCCATACCGGAACCGTACTGACATGTGCATTAAAGAAACCTCTAAAGAAACATTAACAGGCGAATCTAGTTTTAATTCACAAGAGAAAACTGGCAACTTCGATTGTGTAAAAAGAGGTATTATAATTGCAGTGTCATTAACTATGATCTCATTTTTAATAAGTCTACAGAGGTCGATGTTGAATGTAATTAGCCTCAGATCAAGTAAACTACAATAATTACAATTGTCTATGCAACTTTTTTTGTTTCCTCGACTGGAGCAGAAAGACATATACAGTACCTACCTACGTGCGATATTTTACATGATTTTATTTAAACTGCAATTTATATAGGTATTTATGTGTGTTAAGTGAAATCTTGTATCTAAACGTTGAAACAGCTAGTTATTATAATGCCGAGTCGGGCAAAGTATTACTGGATTTAAAAAAAAATCTCAGTAGTAGCACGGAGTCTGGAATTGTGCCCAGTATATGGCAATAGGCTCACCCCCTATTACATGGGACTCATAACATAAATAGTGAAAGGTGGGTGTTACATGGTACAGTGGCATAATGTGCACCTCTGCCTACCCCTTCGGGGGTAAAAGGCGTGATGTTATATACGTTATATATAATATATATATGATGAATGAGATATGTGATATTCTATTTGTCTATAACTTACATAAAGATATAAAACCCAGTGGAGTATGGCAGGCTCTCCCCAGCCTCCTGGCAGTGTTTCACCGTGACTTCAGAGGCTATGGTGCTGAAGGTGGCAGCCTCATACACCACCCTGCTCAGCTTGGAGACTGCTGATGATGAGCAGACTGCTGGTATACATACACCCCACATGATGTGATTCACAGGCATGCCTGATGGTGTTACTGACTGAAATGAAATAAATTGAATTGGTTTATAGAAATACATACATACATACATAACTTCACGCCTGTCTCCCATGGGGGTAGGCAGAGACTAAGGAAGGCCAATTACTACGATTCTTACATACCTCTTTCGCTTCAATAACAGTCATCAATCTTTTCATGCATGCTCGTCGGTTAAGGGTACTTTTAATTTGGCCCTTCTTTAATATATCGCCAATCTGGTCACTATACGTCCGTCTAGGGCGCCCTCTACCGACGGCCCATTCATATCCGCTCTGTATACTTCTTTCGTTACTCTACTTTCATCCATCCTTTCTACATGTCCAAACCAGCGTAACATTCCCTTTTCAATCCTTGTCACTACATCATCTTTCAATCCACACCTTTCTCTAATAACACTATTTTTCACTCGATCACTCAATTTTAGTCCACACATACTTCTCAGGGCTCTCATTTCCACCGCATTAATCCTGCTTTCATGCTTCTTCATGCATTTTGGTTTATAGAAATAAGATGTCCTAAATTAATATACAATGTTAAAGCTACTGTCGCCTGTGATACAGGGCTTTCCTAGTACAGGCATCTTAACTGTACCTCTATAAGGTCTACATCTCTTATTAAGATAATATTTTGTATTTTGCTCATTTTATCACCAATAAATATTATTAATAAATAGTTATCAACC